GAAAGGCGGGGGTGGAGGGTGCGCGCCCCAGGGGCCTGGGCAGGCGCAGGGCAAGCAGCCACAGCCCCTGCGATGGGGTGGTGGGAGTGCGGGATGAGGAAGGGCCACCCCGAGAGGCAGCTGCGAGGAGGGGGGGCGATTCACTGCCCCCACGGCTTTGCTGCCTTCCTCGGGAGTCTGACAACCCCGACGCTCAGCATCGGTGCTGCCCTAAATGCTGCAGAGCCATGACACCGAGGCCGAGGCTCTTCTTGCTGCTGGGGCAGCGACAACCGTTTCTTTTTAAAGGTTTAAGACAGCAAAGCCAGGGGAAGAGACTCCTAAATCCTCACAATTTGCTAAATGTTTTGTTCTGGACCAGAAAAACATTTCACCCTCGACATTCCCTTTGGCACATCCCCCGGTCACCCCCATCCAGCATCACTGGATGGCTCCAGAGCTTGATCGTCTTTGCCTAGACAAGGTGCCAGGGAGAACTTGTCTGAGCTCGAAGGCTCTTTATTACCACTGCTGACAACGTCCTGACTTCAAATGGGGAATTACGGCCGTCTGTGCAGCGTGGATGCTTGGGGTTTACTCAGGGCGTCTCTGAAACGCAGCCCTGGCGCAGGCGAGCCCGACAGGAAGCCAGCGCTGTGGTATTTAGAGATGCTTGGACAGCAGGAGTGATGGGATGTGCTGGCAGAGGACAACACGATGGAGATACCAAGTCCTGGCTGGTTTATAACACATGGTACCAGCCAAAACTAAACTGTTGGCTAAGCCCAGCGAGCGGCACGAACTGTGTTCCAGGACTGCGGCAGAGCAGGCCAAGTGAAGACCTGACCTCGTGCTCCTGCCCGGGGAGCTGCCGGAGATCCAGGGTTGGACGAGGAAAACTAGGTGTGGGGTTTGTTTCCTAAGGAGCTTGTTTCCAGGCTCCACAGCCCGGTGTGGCTTGCGAGAGGGAAGCGGCACCAGCGCAGACTGGCTGAGGGCGACAGGGCACCCAACCTCAGGAAGGGCCAAGTCGCCCTCGCTTGAAGCAGCATCTGCTGCTTGGCTGCAGGAGCCCCGGGAAAAAGCCACGTCCGAACTGGGAAAATAAGGGTGTCGTTTCATTTTGGACCTGTCAGCTAGCAGGAACGGCGCAGGAGGCCTACGTGCAACGCACTGGACGATCGTCACAGCTTAATAGAGCTTAAGGGTGGGAGAAAAGTCCTCGGGGTTAACCGAGACGCAGCCAACGCTCACGTAAAACCAGAGGCGAGCGCCCTCGGCTCCCCCTGCACCCCTCGGCCAGCCCGCGCGGCGCGAGACGGGCGTCTCCTCCCTGGGAATGCGAAGCCTTTCGCCAAACAGAAAGCCACTAAGAAACCGAGCGATCGGGCCCGGGGCCAAGTCACCAAGGAGCCTCATTTCCCAAAGGCAGGCAGCTCGCCCGTCGCCAGCACAGGCTCCACGGCTCCTCTCGAGGCACCACTCCTCCCTCCTTTCCACAGACCAAGCGCATAAATCCCCAGGAAGAGCCAGGTCAGAGTCCCCAGGCGCCTGGGATGGCATCGCCCGGGAATTACTCGCCCCGTTCCTAAGCGAAGGGCAGCCGTTCCCTTGAAGCCACTCGCTGTGGCAACGGCCTGGAGACGAAAGCATCGGACGCTCGCACCCAGCGAGCTGGCCCGCAATAAAAGGACGCGTTCTTCCCAGAAAGCCGGGAGCTTGTACGGCTGCCCGAGCTCGACGGCTGCACCCTCCCTTTCAGCAGAATTAGGGCACTGCCGAGGATTAACATCCCTGACTACAAATCAGAGCAATGCTGAGCTGGCCAGAAAGAGAGACGGAGAGCAGGAGAGATCCCATTAGCCCCAACAAATAAATAAGGATAATGACCGCGGGAGAAGCCCTGTGTCGCCGCAGTTGCGGTGTAATCCCTCTGCGAGTTTCTCACTCATCCGAGTCCAGCAGCGACAGTTTCACATCCCGAGGGTGTAACGTGGTATAAACCTACTTACAGCGCGGTGAAACCAAGCGCACGGCTTCACTCTCTGGGTGTTTGTCCAGGACAGAACCGGGAGCGGGACTCTCAGCGCCTGCGGGGAACATTTCTGGATCTGCCCTGAGGGATAGGGACCCTTGGGAAAGGCAGGAGCTCCTCTCCAGCACCCTCTCACAGACGTGCCCCACGAAACCGTCGCCTGCTCTGCGTTACACGCTTCTTCACCCGGCAGGAAGAATTGGCTGAGCAGTTCGGGTCCAGCTGACCTTTCAGTAAACCCCTAGCCAAGTCTCCCACGGAAGAGGACTCTCCCTTAAGGCAATTAAAGAGCACTGAATCATAAAATTAATTTTTCTTTGGCCACCTCCTCTTCCTCCACTTGTCACAAGCGCAGCTTTGTACGGAAACCATCTCCTTACAGGCTGGAAACAACCACCTCCTCACCCCTCGCCTGCCTTCACCCCTGTAAAAGGGCAACGCAACCAGAAACTCAGCCATTTCCGGCTCCAGAACCATTTCCTTTATCACGTTCCTCAAAATGAGCACAACTGGGACTCGTTCCTGCTCCGGACCACACGGACCAAGCGTCTTCACGCCCCGACGGCCCTTTGGGCGGCTCTGGGAGCCCGCTGCAAGCTCCCGGCGCACGGCAGAAGACGTCCACGGGACCCGAGCGACGGAGCTGGAGCTGGAAAAAACTCCCCAACCGCACCAGCCGACGAGACCCCCATGTCCAGCGGGAGGAGACGCCTGCCTGCAGCCGGCTGGACCGCTCACACCAGCACGACTGGAAGGTTTGCTCAGAGCTGCAGCTCCTCACAAGAACTTATTTACTTTGGAAACTCTGCCATTATCGTCAATATTCCACAAGAGACGTAAAGGGGAGAGATGGTTGTTTTTCCTTCCTAACCAGGACAAGCCCTTCTCCTTGGGGAGCTGCCAGGCAGTCCTCCGCAGGATCTACAGCTTCCAGCTCGGCAGAGGAGCCTGGGACAGAGGCGAACGTCGCCCAGGAGATACCTGCCGGTCCCCACAACCAACGCCCCGTCCTGCGGCTCCAGCAGCGTGGGCACTTCTACGCAGCTACAGAACTCCCTTCTGGGGCATCTGGAAGAGTTTTGTATGTTTTAGACCGTGATTTCAAGCCTTATCACCACGATATCCTCATTCCCTTCTCACAGCCCCTCTCTGAGAGAGGAAATACCACACCAACTTACACACCAGGCCATCAGCCCAGGTATTCCAATTGCAGGGGAGTCTCTGCTCCCCAAAATACCCTTCCCATCTGCCTGCCGGATCCTCTCCTGTGGGCATGAGGGGCGTGTGAACAGAATCCAAACTTTCAGCACTCGGTTTAAGCCAGTGGACGTACCTGACCCAAGTACCTGACCCGAGTTACCGCAGTCTTAATTAGCACCTTGAGCGTGAAAGTGAATCAGAGTCCCCTAAAATCCAGGAAATCCCTCAACAACTGCAAAAAAACCCGCTCAGGATGATGAAGCTAAGCACGGTGACCATGGTAGCCCCATTTGTTTGTCAGGGCCAGAAGCAGGGCACAAAGGAGCTCAAACACCTGCTTATTTACATATTAACAGCAGGAAATCAAATAAACTGGCCAGGATTTCTGTTGTTGTTGCTTTAAGTCCTGGTCTGACTCCCACACCCTGTGACAAGGCCGGTGTTACAGCCACTTGCCAACATCAGTTTGTTTTCTCCTTCCCTGATGCCGGGGGGAAATTCCCTGGTGCTTTGGCTGCATTTAGGGAGGAGGAAGAGGAGAAGCAGGTAAACCAAAGCGAGGCGGGACGGTCCTGCTGCCAAGGGTGCAGAGGCACGCTGGGGAAGGGGAGCAGCTCCTCTCCCGGCACAGACGAGGTTTGGAGGCGCGGGGACAAGCGGATCGTGGGGTACCAGAGGCATCGGGCAGAAACTTC